GCTGGCCCTGGGGAGTGGGTCCAGACCTCTGGGGAGCCACTTTGTGAAGTAGTCACGACGTCTGTCTGCCTGGGTCAGTATGCGCATCCAACACGTGGGCTTCTGGTGTCTCGCGCGTGGGTCCAGTCGCGTGTGCCTGAAGCGTCCTCTCTCAAGAAGGGAAGGTTGAAGGAGGAGGGGACGATGGAGGAGGAGGAGAAGGAGGAGGAGGAGGAGGAGGAGGAGGACGAGGAGGAGGAGGAGGAGGAAGGGGGGGATCAGGAGGAGGAGGAGGAGGAGGAGGAGGAGGAGGAGGAGGAGGAGGAGGAGGCGGATGAGGAGGAGGAGGAGGAGGAGGAGGATGATGATGATGAGGAGGAGGTGGATGGAGCTAATAACGCGGTGGATCCAGTCAGCAAGACCCTGGAGCGTCTTTGAGGGGTCCTCCGCAGCGTTCGTGCGGGCTTGTTCTTCTCTGGGGGCTCCCCATTCGAACCCACTTGCAAGGAGGAGAGACCGTCCCACTCTGCAAGAGCGCTCTTTTGACTGCGTCACAGAACTGTTCGCACATATGCGCGCCTTGCAAAGGAGGCCAACATTTTCCCTTCTTCATCTTCCTTCTCCTCCGCCTTGTCCTCTTGTTCGTATTCGTCCTCCTGCTGCTGCCGTTCTTCCTCCTCCTTCTCCTCGTCCTCCTCCTTTTCCTACCTCTTCCTGTCAGGTATTTTTTCTCGTCCTCTTTCGCTGCGTCCTCTTTCCCCTCATGTGTTTGTGCGCTGGAGCAGCACACGTGTCCAGTTCGAGTGGGAACGACGTGGCGTGGAGGTGCTGTGCACCGTAGTCGGTTGCTGCGCGGGCCTTCCAAAGTGAAGCCCTGGGCTTGGTCCAGGGCGTCATCAAGGCCCTCTGGGGGCCCGTTGGACGCCGCCGAGGCGAGTCCCGGGGGGCCTCTCGTGGGCCTGCTGGAGGCCTTGGTGTGGGGTGTTTGTTTGTTTGTGTGTGTGTGTGTGCCTCTCGGAGGTACTGGGGCAATCTTGGGGGGGCGCGCGGCCATCCATCGGGAGGAGGAGGAGGAGGAGGAGGAGGAGGAGGGGGAGGAGGAGGAGGGGGAGGAGGAGGAGGAGGGTGCAATCTTGGGGCCTTCTGAGGGCCTGTCGGCTTTCTTCTTGAAGCCGTCTTGGGCCGCCTTGGAGCGGTCCAGGGCCAGTGGCCTCCCGGAAGTCAGCGGAAGCGGCCAGACAGAGGCCGCTCGGTACACCATGCTGAGCCAGAGTGCGTGGACAGGCAGAGAGCATACAGTCGTGTTGTTTTTTTTTCGTAGCGAGCTTCCCTCCTTCTCTGTTCTCCCTTCCACTGGGTGGTTGTGGTGACTCTCACTAACCTGTTCCTGTGGCTGCGCCCAGGATGGCTTCCCCAGGCGGAGGCGCCGCGCCCGTTCCGCGCAGGTCGTCGGACCCCACGCGGCCGCTCTCTCCAGCCAGGGGCGGCAGCAAGGAAGCCTCGCACATGCACAAGAGCCAGTCGTCGCACATGATGCCGAGCACGCTGGCCGACCTGCGCGTCGACCCGACCGCGTTCGTGGCCTCGCAGGCTCGAGCCATAATGAGAATGGGAGCAACAGTGATTGGAAGAATCCCACGGGTGAGGAGAATAGTAGCACACAGAACAGCAGGAATACCAATGGCACTATAAGCAAGACTCGTAGTAGTAGTAATAATAATAGTAATAATAATAAGAAGAATAAGAATAATAATAATAATAATAAGAAGAAGACGACTCTTACCAGTTATCACAGTAACACAAATATTAACCACAGTAAGACGAGGCACAAACCTTTCGGAGGTCCCCGCGGATTTCCTGGGTCGGCGGTGGGGCCCCCCTGGCGGCGCCTCCGGCGCCAGGGAGGGTGTTCCAGCGCTGGCCCAAGAGGTCCGCGGACTTCCGAAGCCATGCCGTTCTTCTTTGCCCGACCTTCCCGCGTTGGGTCCTCGTTTTGAGCAGAGCACTGCGGTCTCCACTCTCCTCCTCTCGCCTCCCTCCTCCTCTCCCCTCCTGCCTGCCTGCTACCCGGCCTCCCACCTCGCCGTCCTGCCTCGCCGCCTGGCCTGGTGGCTCGCGGTGGGACTGCGATCTGCGAACGTGTCGCCACTTTCGAGGGTTGCTCGGGGATCCAGCTAAGTAAAGTCCATCGCAGATTCAGAGAAGACCTCGCCATCCCTGGGGGACTGCGAATTGCGAAACTGTCGCCACTTTCGAGGGTTGTCGGGGGTCCAGCATAGTGACGTCCCACGCAGATTGAGATTAGACCTGACCATCCCTGAGGGGCTGTGAACTACGAAAATGTCGCCACTTTCGAGGGCTGCTGGGGTGTCCAGCACAGTGACGTCCTACGCAGATTCAGATTCGACCTGATCATCCCTAGGGGTTTGCGATTTGTGAAACCCTTTCCACTTTCAAGGGCTGCTGGGGGATCCAGTATAGTGGCGTCCTATGCAGATTCGGAGTGGACCTGATCATCCTTGTGGGGCTGGGATCTCTGAAACTTTCGCGACTTTCGTGGGCTGCTGGGGGGTCCCAGCACAGTGACGTCCTACGCAGATTCAGATTCGACCTGATCATGCCTGGCTTTTGGGGGGTCCAGCATAGTGGCGTCTCACGTGGACTCAGATTAGCCCTGACTTCCTTTCTCGCGGGCCGCCCGAAGGATGCGGAGACGCTCGCGGGCGAGCCCAGCCTCGCTCGCTTCTGGCACTAGCTATTGGCAGTTGATCCCTTGGAGTGCCAGAGCGACATGGCACGGGACGCGCTAGTTGTGCAGCGTGCCACCATCCTTCCTCATCCTGCCTCTTTCGCTGTCGTCGTCGTCCTCCTCCTCCTTCTCCTTCTCTTCCTCCTTCTGCTTCCACCGTCTCACTGCTGGTGTCGCGTTAAATTTTCGGCCCCTCTTCCGTCCTCCTCCTGCCCCTTGTTCCCACCCCCATATCCTCTTCGAGCCAGGGCCCTCAGTCCTCATCCTTCTGTTGCTGTCCTGTGAGTCGTGCAGCCCGCACGCTACCCATAAACCTTGTGCACGTCCAGTGACATATTCGGTGTTGTCGTCCGCCATGGCACTCTGGGCCAACTCCTCTTGTCGCTCAGTGCGAATGGGTTGGGCACGTCGCAGGGTCATTTCCCCGCACAGGCGCACCTGCTGGAGCCCACCAAGCACAACCCCCTCCCCACCCTGACGCCGCCGCCCATCGCCGGGCTCGCGGCGCACCACCTGGCCAAACGCCAGGTGGGGCGGGCCAAGGGAGGCCCTGGCCCTCGACCCTCCGATCCTCGAAGGCCTCGATGCCTCAGATCCTCGTCCAGCAGCCTCGATCCTCGAAGACCTCGATCCTCGAAGACCTCGTCCAGCAGCCTCGATCCTCGGGCACCCTCCTGCGCTGCAGCCCAAGAGCACCTGGGCGCCGGCCGAGGTGTTGGCCGACTTCCACCAAGACGGGGGGATGCTGCGGTCGACATTTCGAGGGAGCGCGCCGCTTTTGGCCAGAAGCCGGGGCCAACGGAGGCGCCCGTAGCCTTCGCGCTCTTCGCCTTCGTCGCCGCTCCCGCTCCGACCTGCCGCCGACGTCGAGCATCTATTCGCCGGCGTTCCTTCGCTCTTCCCCGTCTGGGAGACATGTGACATTCGGCGTGCAGTCATAAGTCGAAATGAGGACCGTTTGGCGGACGAAGAATGGTACAGTCAACCCGTAGAGTAGGGATGAACAGCTCTTCAAGGTTACCGTTGCATCCTTCCCCTTCGGCCCATCTTTGGCCGCTTTCGCTGGCCGCGCTGCGTTCAAAAGGTGTCGACATGGCCATTTACGGCTCTTGAACCCTTACCGCGCACCCTGATTATACGGGTTGAGTGCAACATATGTTTCCCTCCAACGGGGACGCCTGGGCCAGGGCGGCCCGAAAACTTATACCACTACGGTGAGTGACACGTCGGGGTATCGGCTTTTGCATTCGCCCGGGGACAGGCGCCCCCGAGGGCGGAACAGCTTCTTTTGAAGGCCTTCTGGCCTGCGCCGGCGACCCTGAAGGCGGGACCTCCCGTGGAGGCCAGACCTCCCCGGGGGTCACCGCCGCGGGCGTCTCTTCCCTCCTGGACCTCAGGGGGCAGTATTCACCACCCACCAACCCACCCCAACCCAACCCGAAGGCTCAGATTTACCCTCGATTTCCAGTGGGGGGGGGTCGGGAAACATCGAAAAAACACATGAGGAACCCTTACCCCCCCCAACCCGAAATTCGGGTCTTCGGGTTGGGTTGGGGTGGTCTGGTAGGCAGTCAAGTATTCTGACTCGGGACCACCCTCCCCCGCAACAGGTGGGATCTCCCCCTGGCCCCTCCTCCAGGACCTTCCCCCTGCAAGGAGGGTCCCCCCTTGTCCTCCCCGACCGGGGAGGGGAGGGGTGGGCCGCCAGGACCCCGGGTGTGTGTGTGATCTGACCCGGGTCCCCTCGCACCCCCCCCACCCCCTCACCCCCCGCATTTTTTCCCCCCTACCTCCCTCCCCCCCGCCATTGCTCCCCCCTCAGGGAGGGGAAAAGCGGAGGGGATCGACGTAACTACGACGTTTATTTTCTTTATTCGTTTCTAGATTTCTCTTGGGGCTGGCGACGACGACGACGACGACGGCGACGACGACGACGACGACGACGACGACGGCGTCTTACACACGCCGAAGGGCTGGCGGATTAGCGCTCTCGGGTCCTTCCCCGCTCTTCCCCCCGCAGCGCTCTCCGTAGGCCTCGGCGCAGCTGCCGCCCCCCCGAGGCGGTCCGTGGCGGGGAACTCGTCCGTGCCGGGAGCGCGTCCGTCCGAGAGCGTGTCACAGAGGGCCTTGGCCAGTGTCGGACATGGCCAACCCTTCCCGCCCTCCGAGAGGACGTCGGGCAGCGTTGGATGTGGGTACGTACCCTCTCGCTCCCTGCGGGGACCTCGAGCAGCGCTGGCATGCGCACCTTCCCGCCCTTCGAGGGCACCTCGGGTAGCGTCGGATGTGGATACCTCGCCGCCCCAGGGGGAGGCCGGCGGATGTCCACACCCAGCGCGCCGCGAGGTGCGCGGGGGCGCACATCCTCTGGACAGCAGCGAAGTGCCTGGCGTGGTCCCACGGAAGGCCTTCGTTCCCACGAGGGGGACGCGCGCACAACGCTTCAATTCATATGCGTTGGCATCGTGGTCCCTGCTTCGCGCTCTGCCTGCACCTGGCTCGAGTTGCGAACGGCACGCGCGCGAGCTGCAGGGCCGACGCCGTAGCCTTTGGATGCGTGCGAGGAAGAGAGCATCGGGCCGCGTGTGGTCGACGGTGCGCCGAGGGCGGAAGGCCGAGGGGACAGGCCTTCTCAGAAGGCAGCGGGGCGCCTCAGAAAGCCCTTCGGCCTTCTGTGGGGCCTGCCGTGTCTTCGGCCTTCTGAGCCTTCTGAGGAGGCCCGCCCCCCCTGGCGCGCCGCCGATGTGGTCCACGAGCGAGTCTCTGGCTGCTGTGTCCTGGGGGCACAGCGCGAGAGGCGCAGGCGAGGTCCTTCTTGGCTGGCGCCCAGGTGATGCGTGCTTCGGCAGGCCCCCACGAGGTGAGAAGCACGCGTGACCCTTCGTCTCAGTGACGCTGGGTGCGGGCCCAGGGGTCCACCTGGCATTTGCCTGCGCGCTTGGATCTGATCCCCCCCCCTCTGCCCCCGAAAGCCACGCACCAAAGGTCACTCGTGCCCAGGGCCACTGGCGTGTAGGCGACCGCGAGAGGGACGGGGGTATGTAATGGCGCCAAGCCCCCCCACAGGGGAGGACATCTGCGCGGTGCGACGAGCCGAGCTATTGTACGACGGACGCTCTGCCTGCCCAGTGCCGCCCCAGCAGAGAATCCGAGGGCCAGATCTCGGGCGCAGGAGTTTTTTTGTTTGTTCTACTTCCCCCCATTCTTCTGCTTGCTGTTGTTATCCGTAAGGGCTTCGCCCCCATGCCGCCGGCCCCCCTCTCTTAGAAGGGGACTTGCCAGAGCTGTGTTAGGATGTCTGCACGCTGACGTGAAGCAATGTCGGGGCTTCACGCACAGGGCTAATATTGGTTTACGAGGGTTTATGGCTTCGGTGGCGCGAATACTAGGTAATTTACGATGGTTCATGGCTTCGGGGACGCGAATATTGCTTACCTTGCGACGGTTTGTGGCCTCGGGGACGCAATGATTGCTTAATTTACGAAGGGTTATGGTCTCCGGGGCGCAAATATCGTGTAAGTTAACGAGGTTTATGGCCTCAGGGACGCGAATATTGTATACTTTGCGCGGGTTTGTGGACTCGGGGACTCAAGGCGTAATTATCGAGGGATATTTTTTATAATTCTCGAAGGTTCATGGTTTCGGGGGCGCGAATATTTTGTATTGGGGACGCGAAAATTTAGTAATTTGCAACGGTTCACGAATCTTGTTTAATTTACAAAGGTTTATGGCCTTGGGGACCAGAATATGGCATAATCTACTCGGGATTATGCGTTCGGGGACGCGAATATCACGTATTTGTACGTGCTCCACGACCCCCGGGGAATTCAGACAACGCGATTCGGGGACGCTGATCAAGACGCTCTTCGGCTCCCCAACCCCGCGCGTTCCGCAACACCACTTGACAGTCAGGAAGCAGAGAGCCGGACGACTGTAGCAGTGGAAACTGGAAACTGCAACTGGCACAGGGAGCTGCAAGCCTAATCCTCGCAGCCTGATGTCAGAGGCCAGCAGCATATGTACACGTACGCGGTTAGCTTCCCCTGGAGTGCGTGTCAACGCGGACGTTCGTGCAGGCAAGACCGCGGAGGGCGTACATGTACATATGTCGTTGCTCGCCCATGATGGCCCCGCAAGGGGGGCCGGCGAATGGCTCGCTGGCTCGTCTTTTCTGTGCGGGGCTTCGCCCCCCGACCCCTGGGGTGGCCACGCCTGGAATGCAGCTCAGCAGAGCTGGCCGGCATGGTGGCGACGCTCTTCCGCCTGCTTTTTCCACCACTTTCTTGGGACCGACACCTCGAGACCGACGGCGACGGTGACGACGACGACGACGACGAGGAGGACGACGACGACCAGGACTCAAACACGCCGGAGGGTCGGTGGACCTTTGTGATCGTTTTCTGATTCATCGTTCTGCCGATCGGCGCGGGCCCTCGCACCCCCCCTCCCCTGCCCCCTGGAACAGCAGATCTTGGCTGTTTTTGGCGCCTCTTTCGAGCAGATGGAGTCTTCCCCATGGACGCACTGCTGCAAAGAGTCGCAAGCAGAGGTCCCGAGCCAGACCGAGCCAAACGCCGAATAAGAAAACGCGAGAGTGGCCCCATGGAGGTTCGTGCCGCCTCGACGTGGCAGCGACGGCGACGCGGCCGCTCGAGGTGCTGTGAGCTCTGCCTCGAGCCCCGGGGGCCCACGGCAAAGCAGCCCACGGCGCGAAGGCCACACGAAGGATGAGGTCGATTCTCCTTTGGGCACCTCCGAGGCCAGGGATCGCT